GGGGGGGGGAGGCGGCATCTCCTGCCCCAGGCCTGCCCTGCCATATGGCCTCCCTGCCCAGGGCCTTTGCGGGGGCCACGGTGCATGACTGCTTTAACTGGCTGTCCGTGCTGGTCCTGCTGCCCCTGGAGGCTGCCACCGGCTACCTGTACCACATCACTCACCTCGTGGTGGCCTCCTTCAACATTCGCGGCGGCCGGGACGCCCCAGACCTGCTCAAGATCATCACGGAGCCCCTCACCAAACTCATCATCCAGGTGGGCATGGGGGTGGGGCGAACGGATGGGGGGAGGCTGGTAAGTAGGGGTGGGGGGGTCTCCCCGCCTCACTCCTCTCACTCACCTCTGGTCCCAGCTGGACCAGTCCATCATTACCAGCATCGCCACTGGGGATGAGACCCTGAGGAACCACAGCCTCATTCGGATCTGGTGCCACCCGCGCCCCTTGGAGGTGAGTCCTGGGCCTGAGCCCCTGGAAGAGACGCCTCCTACCCAGCAAATGGTTGATGTCCCATCGTCCATTCAAAATACTCCAGATACACCTGGGGGTTCATTTCACTGGGAGAGCAGGACTCTGTGACCCTTTGATTGTGATAGGGTGCTGCAGTTAACATTGCACCCTCCCCCGGCCTCGGCGCCTGCTCGAACAGCCATCCGCCATGCCCAGAGCAGCAGCAGCAGGACCCTTGTCAGATGGGATGTAAATGGCTGGGCCCTTCCCTAGACTGTGGGGCCTCAGGCTGGTGCAAATGGCGAGTACATTCAGCTGTTAACAGAAAGCTTGGCGGTCCATTGGAAGAAAGGCCTGGTAATCTACTTCTGAATAAGTAGCCGCATGGACTCCTGTGGGGCTCGGTTCTACCTGGATGCATTTTGTACTGGTCCTGATACTGCTCCTCCTCACCCACAGCTGCCAACTTGATGCCGCTCATGCCACTCCGGAGGGCAGGGTGGATCTGCCCCTGGGGGTTTCTGAGACTCTAGCTCTTTACAGGAGTACAAAGCTCTGTGTTTCTCCGGCAGAGTGGCTGGTGGTTTTGAACTGCTGACCATACAGGTAGCAGCCCAATGTATAACCACTGTGCTACTGAATCCGGTGCGGGGGTGGGGGTGGGGTCTGGTAAGGGGCTAATTTCTGGGCCTGCAAAGGCTCCGTGCTACAGTTGGAGAAGCCCAGGTCTGGTTCCAGCGCTGGTTTCTCAGGGAGGGAAATAGGCCAAGGCGAGCAGGAACTTGCCGAAGCTTATCCAGCCATGCCAGGGGCAGAGCGTGGCTCTCCCAGCCTAACGCTCTTCCCTTCCCCCTGAGACACCCATGGGAGGGGGGGCCCAGGTAATGTGGGCTGGATGTGACAAGATTGCCCAGGAAAGCAGGGAAGAGCAGGAAGGTGGCTCCAGGAGACCAGGAAAATGCCTGTTTGGAGAAAACACAGCTCTTGGTGCCGGCCTCTGGGACTCCAGGCCTCCTGCCGCGGTGGGTGCGAGTCCAGTCTCCCTGGCCAGTGTCCCCGCTGCTGCCTCCCGGCCCCCAACGCCCAGGGGAAGGCTTGTTTGGAGGGAGGGGCTCCGCTCCGGGGGCTGCCCCGCCCCGCCCGGTGGGTAAGGAGGAGGCAGGCGTTGCACGCTCGCTCTCAGAGGAGAGGCCGTCACCCAAACTGCAGTCCAGAGCAGCTGTGCCTTAGTCACTGCGCTCAACAGGCAGTTCCACTCAAGCAAGACACAGGACAATCTGGACTGCAGAAACAGGCATGAACCTGTTCGCTCGCAGGGGCCTATAGGACAGAGTGGAACTGCTCCTCGGGGGTTCTGAGACGGAGTCTTTACGGGAACAGACAGCCTCGTCTTTCTCCCTTAGAGGAGCTTGAACCATCGACCTTTCTGTTAGCAGCTCGGCCCTTAGGCCACAGCTCCACCAGGGAGCTAACCACCAGCAAGATGGCCCTGGCCCAAGGGATCAATGAAAATCCTCCCACCTCTCACCTGGTCTCCAGGTCAGACCTCAGCGACCCACAGGGTTTTCATTGGATGATTTTTAGCACTGGATCACCAGGCCTTTCTTCCTATTCCCATGTCCCTCTGGAAACCCCACTAAAACCTCTAGCATCACAGTCTAACACAAACCTCCACTGACAGACAGCGGGGGCTGCGCGTGAGATGCACTGGCGGGGAATCGAACCCCAGTCTCCACTTAGAAGATGAGAGTCTTACCCCCGAAACCACAGCTGCCTTTTTCTCTCAATGTGAACTCGCCCTACATCTGAAGGGGTCCACCGCTCCAGGGAGGGCGCTCTGACTCGTCGGAGCAAGGCATCAAAAAGCAGGGTTACTCCTGGCTCTGATCTCCCTGGGCCAGACTTCTCCACCTCATAGTGAAATGCTTGATCTGCAGACACACACACACACACACACACACACACGTCCTGAAAGGGTGCTCCTGGGCCCTGAGTCACATTCTCTGAGGACCCTGCCACTCACCTGCAGCTGCATTCAGCGGGTCTCAGTGACTCAGATGGCGATCAGCAGGGCAGGCTAACCCACTCTGGCCTCACGCCTCTGGCCACAGGGAGGAAACACAGGCTCACAGACGCGAAGCCACCTGCCCGGACCACTCAGCTTGACCCCGGCCCCAGGGGCCACTTGCCGGGGCACCAGCCTCTCATGCCTGCTCCTCAGAGCTCCTTCCTCCTAATGGGGACCAGGTCAGGTTTCCTTGCTGTGGAGAGGGGCTGGCCGGGGTGGGGGGTCAGAGCTGCCCGCACTCATCTTCTCTCTGGCAGTGCCCTGTGGGCATGTGCCTCTGGAGCAGGCACTGGAGGGGGGACTTCCCAGCCTTGAAGCTTCTCCTTTGTCTGTCTGTATTTCCTTCCCCCTAACTTCCTTGCCTCCCGCTTTCAGCCACCCCAGACTTGCAGGGATGGATGGTGGGTGCGGTCTGAGGCCCGTTTCCCCTTTGGGCCACCAGAGGGCGGTGCCGGCACGGACTTCTCCCTCTGCTTCTCGGAGAACAAAGACCTGGAGTTTCCCTTCTTCAGGAGGAAAAATCGCTGCATTACAGGCCCACATCCTCTGCATTTCTCCCCAGGGCTGGGATTCTCAAAGCCGGCTGTCTTCCTCAAATTTAATCACCCTCTTCAGTTCCTAGAGGCGCCTCCTTTATTTGGGGTGTCCTGCAGGCCCTTGGATCCCCGCTGTCTTCCCAAGATGCTTGGCAACTATCTTCTGCAGCGTTGTGCACCCCATGCCGCAGCGGAGGAAATTCAGGGCATTAAGTGTCTCATCCAAAGTCACACAGCTGGGCAGTGGCCCAAGTGGGATTTGAGCCTACGGCTGTATGAGGCTCATTCTGTTCCCTT